AAATATCTGTGTTTTTGTATTACAACTTGTAGTCATTCTAGAATGAAAAAGCATAATTTATATTTATTTCATAATTTTTTACAGTGGTTGTGAGGTCAGTCAAAGTGACCCAACCTGTACAGGGATACAGTAGTGAAAATAACAGATAAAATATACAGTTTTTTTCCAAAAAAAAGTTTGATAATTATCTGGGGGTTATAAAGATTTTGCATGTGAAATTTGAAGATTTTTTGATGCACAAAAGTATTTTTAATCATAAAATCAAAATTACTTTACATGTTGGATAGCCAACATTTGAAAAGAAAAAGGCATGAGAAAAGATTACTTAAGAAATCTTAAAACTTAAAAAAAAATCTGATATTTTGCATTAGAAAGTCTGGTAATGTTTACTGATAATATGCAAAATTTCATGAAGATATGCTTACTAATCTAAACGTTATATATAGCATGAAAACTATAACAAGCACAAAAATGGTTATAAGGTTGGTCTGTAGGACCGAGCCTGTGCAGAGAGTTAAACTTGTAACAATATATATCTATTTATATTTAAATTCTGTTGTTTTATTACACTTTGAACTGTGTCTATCTACTATTCATGCCATTATAAGTTGTAAATCGCTTGGTGAACGTGCAGCTCACATTATGCTATCAAATTACATTATGCATGAGCTACTCGCGAATGTACCTTGTGAAAAATTTTCATTATATATCATTATTTATTTTATCTAACCTAATCTTACCTAACATAAAAAGTCTCTTATTCTTTACATTTTAGTTACTGTTATGATAAAAAAATACACATGAAAAACAAGAAATGAAGTACTTACCCAGGCCTTTTTTTTTGCTGTTGACGCCACTTATCCCTACTTTTTTTTCTACTAATGGTACTACTACATTAAATTTTTTTATTTAATAAAACAATGCATCAAAGAACACAGAATAATACCATTCAAAAAGCAGACAACGTCCCATAACTATCACAAATTACAGTTACAATTACAAATTCATCTAAGCTAGTCAATGTGTTTCTAGTCAGAATAAAGCTTGTACTGAAAGCAAAACTGATAGTTCTCTGTACTATAATATGTCATTTGATAGATGAAAATCTTGGGTTTTATTGGTTGTAAATAATATAGTGTTGAACAATAGAAGGAATTACAAGCAATTTCTGAAGGATGTGACAGACAAGAGAGGTCTGATTTTCTATTTGATGGCTCTGTAACAAATTAAGATTGAAGCAGATAAAAATATTGCTTTGCCTGAGCGGTAATGACATTATCATGAGTAATTTACATTAAACTTCATACTTCTTGGAGGGGTGGTAAATAAATTAGAGAGGAGGGGATGCCTAGAAAGAAAATGTCACAAATCTCACACTAAGGGAAATTCAGAATTTTTTATTATAAAAATTGCCTTATAAAAGTAAGAACTTAAAACTTATATATACTATTAAAATATGAATTATTAGCTAAAAACCTTGTGACATGCAGAAAAAGATACCCATGAAGAGAGGATTAATGATGTCTGACCTCTCAGCTGGCTCTACAATTTCACTCTGTTCAAGCTAGAGCAAAATCTTAACATGTTTGTAGCAGTTATTGAATTTCCACAGTAACACTGAAACAGATGAAATATACCATTTATAAAGCATTATGGACCTTAAGAGTTTGTGGATCTATATTTTCAATACATTTTATGTACTTCTTAATAAGCTGATTGCAGCAGTAAGCTTTGAATTGACTTGGTTATGCCAGAATCCATAGGCTGTAACATTGAAATGGTGATTGGTGAGAAGTGGTACAGTGTTACATTAGACAGCTCTGAATCTGGTGCAACATGAGTAGAAGCACTGTCCCCAAGAAGAAGAATTTTTCTCTTCTTTGTGTGCATCCTAAGGTTCAAATCCTTCAGCCACTCTGAGGAAAATTCTGACATCATCCAGGCATTCTTATTCTACCTGTATCTTGCATGGACAGTAGCACTGCAATAATTGAAATCACTTCCAAAGCATCTTGGCTACTTTTGCAATCACAAATGGCTGCAACTTGTCACCACTACTTGCATCAGAAAACAAAGCAACTGTTAAGAGATCTTTAGACTTATTTGTACCTTGAACTCGCTTGCTTGCCAAATAATGAATAAACCAGTCTCTTCTAGATAGCAAATGTCTGCGAATTCATATCATTACCGAACCTTTCATAGATCTTCTCTACCTGCAGCAACTGCATTTTGCATTACTTGCTGCTTCACCTTCCAATTCTGTCATCCTTCGAAACATTGCAGACATCCAATGAAATGTTCAAACTCTGTTACACCAAGCTAATGTCATAGTTGATTAGCTTGCTCAATAAGCATTTCATCATTGGCACAAAAGTATTTCTTGATGTAACATTACACATTTAAAGATACAGAGTTTACTCCAAGTTTACATATTTTGAATGTATTGCTCTTACTTGCTGCAAAGAATATCAGATATGGTTGACTTGCCCATGAGAACATTACTTTCTACACTGAAATGGTATCAAGGCTTGAACTTGGATCAACAAACACCATGTTTTAATGATGCTGATATTTCTATGTGTTTCCTTTTGGAACACTGAGACTTGACAGCACTCTAACAATCTCTGAATATTTGTTACAATTTATAGGTACATCCCTAGCATGAAGGCTGTTCACATAAAATTGTTGTTAACCAGTAAACACTAGTTAGTGCAGGTGTTTTGCAGGCTGTAATTATCTCCACAATTCCCCTTCTGATCGACCCTTAATTGATTTTTGTGGAGTCATGTATGAATTTGCATATCTATGTTTGTTATAAAATAACTTAAAATTTGGAATGCAAATATACAGATTATTGATTAAATTTCCCATTGTGAAAAAACCACCTGTATTGTGAATAATTCAAATTGTCAATGACTGGCCTAACAACGATTCACTATATATACACCATACAGTCATACTTTTAGTACCAATATCATAATCAGTATGCCCTAATTGTATTGATTGACATCTCTGGTACAATACAAGCCAGAAGTTTGCAAGACAATGCTTTATCTTTGGTTCTTTATCCAATAACATTTTAGGGCAAAGCCTATAGCTTCAGAAGTTCCCATATACTTAAAGAAAATCAACATATATATTCCATGCAACACTTTTCATATTCGTACAATTTCATCTAGTGACTTCAGAATAATCTTATCAGCCTTGAAGTGAACAAGAACTAAGGATAAAGGAAGCTGTTCTCAAGCTCTAGGGATTTGCCCTAACATGTACTTTGACAAAGAATTAAAAATAACTGTTTTGTTAGTAGAACATAAACATTATGCAAGAAAATATTAAAATATTTAGTGTAGTCATGATGACTAATGAAATACTCCACTATTTTAGAGATAAGAAAAAATAATAATTACAAAATAGAAAACTAACCTTTGTTGCAAATCTCAAGGAATTTAATGTTTCATTAAAGTGTTCTTCTTTTGGAGATACATTCACAAACATAAGGACTTTGCTATTTCCACCAAGAGAGTTCATGAGCAGGTGGGTAAGCTTGCTGTTTCGGTATGGAATGTGATCTGCCTATTGAAAATAAATAGAATTAAGTAAAAATTAGATGAAAATATGTAATTTTTACTGCTTTTTATAAAATTATTTAATATTTTAGATCATCTCAGCATAAAAATTAAATTTCATAACAACTGGGGAAATAAATAAAAAATATACTTAAAATGGACTAAGTAGAATGTTGACTAGAAATGAAAAAGGCAACAAAACATGAAATCAAATAAGGAGAGATCTATTTAAAAAAGTTTGAAATAAAGTTTTGTAAAGGTAAATATTATACCATGACAAATAAAAAAATCTGAATTTTTTGTTGCTACACTAATTTTCCAAGGTTTCTTGATAGTACAAGACTGTCACTAATCAAAATCCAATGAACTAGTTGAAATAATAACATGGTAAGGCAAAAGATCTCTTAGACATATTTTAGGCACGTGGTCACACTCAAAAATCATAAACTCTTAATTAACGGAACTAGTTAAAATGCACTTTTTTGTTTTAAAGTATTTAAATAAAGTTAAGTTATGCTGACATGTTTTTTACAGGCTTTGTATGTAAGTTGCAAAATGATTATAATGTTTCCACAAGCATTTTCATTTAAGATAGATTTATATGTGAAATACTAGTCACATCCTATACTTATTTTCAACACACAGCAGTGATTAGATGTGTATCTTAACTGAATTCTCACCTTCTGAGACAATGCCATGATGACATTACCAAGGTTTGCCAATGAACGATTGATGTTTTTAGTCTCTTCTAGCCGCTGGCCTTCAGATCCGGAATCTTTAAGCCTCTCACTCCCAGCCAGATCCACCAGATTCAAAGTACCTAGTGACAACAAAAAGTTATGATAAACAGAAACACTAGTAATTATTGCCATTTTACTTTCTCACTTATTTCTAAATACTGAGTTACACCATTTATCTTCAAAGAGATTCTAAATTATCTAATTTAACCAATAATGTGAAAGAAAAGGAACAGATTACAGTTACTTGACTAAAATTTAGTCAAAACTGTAACAGATTGGTTACAATAAGACCAAACTCACCTTTTAACATAGAAAATATGTCAAAACTTTACATCAGTGTTTATATTTCTGTGCACAAACAAATAAATGTAAAAATTCTACAAAACAAATGAAAAATTTCCACTTCTAAGCCAAGTTTAAATAGATCAACAGTAATAAGCTAACAATGACACTGGCTCTCACTTTCTTGGAAATTAAAGTCTAAAAAACATAGAAAGTTAAAACTTAATCCAATCATTATTATAGGATGGAAAACTTAGAAACTTTTTAATTTCTTAATGTCTTGGGTAAAGTTTATGATTTATTTGATCACTTTAAAAATTTGTGAAACATTTCAACATTTCATCTGTGCCCTGCTAATTCAAATAAAATAACAGAACTTTGAATCAAAACACCTACCCTATTAAAAGAAAGGTCCAATAGATTAAACTCATTATAATATATATTTACATTTTTCACTACCATAATAGTTTTACTTATTAAAAAACACATTTAGAAAAATGATAGATGAGATTGTTCACTATAATATATATATTCCTGGGCATTTATAGATAAATCAAAATTCACACCTATTATTATTATCTTTGTAGCACCTTAAAATCAAACTAGAAGAGAAAAAAAATTTTAATGTTGAAATGTTCTTAAGAATGAGAAGTCCAGATAACAGATATCCTACATAAGGCAAAAAACAAGAATGACAGTTATAGAATAATTTGTCTGACAAGAAACTACATTGTTATTGTATGAGTTAGGCTTACCATAATCTTAAAATGATGCTAAAATTAAAAAAGGTGCCCCGTACATCAAATACACACACAGCTGAAACTAGAAAAAAATAGTAGTATCAAGTATTTTTATGAGATGTAGAAGAAATATAGTTGCATGCTAAACTTTTCCCAGAAAATTAATCCCTGTTTTTATATATAAAGTGGTTGAAAAAAAAAAACTTAGTTTAACAGTATAAAAAAAAAGATTTGATCATAACAAGACAGGTCAACAAATAATTGATTGCTTTTTTTCATAAGTTCAGTTAAATGGATTAACCTACATTGATTGAATTAAAAATTACTTGCATTCACAATTTAGTCATTAATTAACAACATAAATAAAAAAGAAAGAGATTAGTTTGTAGTGTTAAAATGGTAAGTAAAGACACCTTCACAAGTTTCTCCTGTGATGCTGTTGTTTCCAGAAAGTTTTATCCTGAAAACCGAATGGGATCTTGACGAGTGCTGATTACATTTCGTAGCTGCTACAGCCCTATTTTTTCTCGCTTTCTTAAGCAACTGATGAATCTGAGAGAAAATAATAATTAGGATTACACAATACAAGGTTTTACTATTATTAAGGCTACACATATATGAAGGACAAAATCCAAGTGTATTTGCTGAAGATGAAGTTAACTTTGTGAAGATAATAGAAGTTTTTTTTAAATTTTAGCACTATCAGTAACCCAATGATCAAGCTTTACTAGTAAATACCAATTACATTAGAGCACTATTATTTTTGAGAAGCTCATAAAATTTGAAATTATTCCTATAGTGCTCATTCAAAAATCACCCCTTTT